CCTGTGATCTTGTAAATGTGTAATTAACTTTAATATGTTACTTTACATATGTAACTTAACAGAAATTGCGAAAAGACTTTGAAACCTCAAATGCTCATGATTCACTTAACTTACCTTCACTCAGTGAAATACAGAACGTACACAAGTATTACATTGTACCACTGATCTAATAGTATTAGATGAACGCAAAGCAAAACAAAGCATATATCAAAACGCCACACAGTATCACGGTAATAAAAAAAATACAGTTAACATGCCTTTTTTTGAGGGTTACCCTGGGTCATACAATATTAAAGAAAAGAGTATCTTAATTTAAACAACTTCAAATTATGCAGAATGGAAAAAAAACTATTTGCCGAGGAATACGTTTTGTGCGTTAAAATTTAATTTGACAATGGAAGTTGGCATGAAAGGCAGAGAACCCGTGGTGTTTTAGTATCAGATAAACATTTTGAACATAGAACAAGATTGTCAAAAGCTCATACAATACCATATTCTAAATAGATATCTTTCTAAAACTTATCACAACACAAGAACGAAAGAGACTGAAACCCTACGGAGTTAACTGCTTCGGATATTCCTCTACATTGATCGTTTCTTGAAGCAGGTCCTTCCACCCATACCACGCGTCGATGTGCCACTTGCCAACGTACATGTATCCTTGTTTCTCCATGAATGAATTCACACTTTTAAATCCGGCGTGGTTAACCTCGATGCAAATCAGTCGAATCTTGACTTTATCCCAGGGAAACGTCGCGAGAACCTGTCGGAATGAATCTTTGATTAAATCCGAAGCAGGAAGCGATTCGTTTAGGTTGCACATAATGGGTGTTGAAAGAATTTGAACAAGTACATGTTTTTTTTTTTTTTTTTTTTTTTTTTTTTTTGCCACTATCAGAATGAGAGTGTGTAATACCCCCATTTCACAAATCCACTCTTGCACCCGTTCCCGTGTCATGCCCCGGAGCGTCCTAAGGTCTGATCAGCCGTGGTTATTTCTTCACCACCGTTATCTATAAAAGTAGCCTGATTTACACCATTTCATACCTAGGTTCGAGGCCTGGTCAGGGAGTAGTATTATATATGACATTATGTATGGTTTTAAAATGGATTTACGCAATCATTTTCACGCCTTGTATGAAAGGGAAAACGTCTAATTCTGTCATTATTACAAAGGACCACATACTGCTCGCATGGATTTTATTACAGAATCGGCGATTCGCCAACATACAGGAGTGAGCAAGAGCGCAGCAGAAATAGGTGATGCAGACGTTGCAAGAAACCGCCATTCAGCATCCGCCTGCGTAGTCCAACAAGGGGAAGCTGTATGTCAGAACCATTGTCTAACAGCAACAGGGGTGGCGAGAGGATATACGCAACCAATAGCCATTGTAACGGTACTCACGGACCAGTGTGAGTGCCAACGGCGGCATGACTGCTTGACCCTAGCCTCCCTATCGTTCTCATACCGATCCTGCGCCATTCCAATATCTATCAACCGATACAAACCAATTTTCTAATATTCTGGTAGCATTCCAGTACCTTTAGAATAGCGTCCTGATATCATCAAAACCGTATCCAATACTGTCTGAACGTCCCAAATATTGTTATAAATGGGCGCCAAGTTCCATTATAACTGACAGTTCACTCCCGACCTAGCTAGAGTTCCTATCCCCTTGCAAAAGCATTTCAAGTGTAAGATTTTTTTTTTTAATGGCCATTCGTGCAGCAACTGATTGGCAGTGGCAGCTGTCCTGAAGAACATTTGAGATATCGGATGTGTGGAGTGGCGGCAGTAGCCGTTCCCTCCCGTTTAAAGTGAATCCTTAACACTTTGGGGATGGGACTGATGAATCGCCGACGGAACTTTAGCAACGATAATGCAACACTAATGGATTGGAAATGAACGGTAATGAATCCATAACACATCGGGAATGGGACTGATGAATCGTTTATGGAATTAAGCAACAGTAATGCAACATTAACGGAATGGAAATGAACAGTAATGAATCCTTAACACATCGGGAAGGGGACAGATGAATCGATAACGGAACTTAAGCAACGGTAACGCAAAACTAACGGAAGTGAATAGTCTCCAAAATTCATCCAGTCCCAGTAGCGTTCTCATATCGTTCCCTAATCTTCTCATGCCGATCCCACAACGTCCTGAGCCGTTCCAATTTCTATCAGCCAATCCAAGCTGATTTTTTAAAATGTTCTGGCAGCGTCCCCAGTACCTTTGCAATAGAGTCCTAATATCGTCCCAACCATACCAATACCGTCTGAATCGTTCCATTACCATTCCTTAAACATTCCAACCATTACTGTCCTTACCGCTAACAGCTCACTTCTGACATAGCTAGAGTTCACATCGCCTTGCAAAAATATTTCATCGAGTGGAAGAATCTAAAAAAAAATGGCCGTTCGCGCAATGACTAACTTGTAGTGCCAGCCGTCTAAGGATGGCTAGGAACGCTTGAGAAAGGAAGAATAAGCGGAT